AGCTGTGGGATGGTGGCTGGGGCTGGCACAGTGCTTCTGGTCCTGCATGTATTGGAAGAACTGTCAAGTCAGTTCTGCGGTCATGGAAGGAATTGTCAATGCCAGGGTAAAGCAGTATTACCGGAGTTAAGCTGAGAGAGAAAGTGAGAAGCAGACGGAGTAAGGTGGTGCTGGCTCCTCTAGTATGCAGTCTCCTTCCAGCATCCTGTGTTAACAGAGCTAACAGCCTGCTGGCAAAGCAGAAATAGGTATGCTGAATGAGACTGAGGAACTGCAAGTTAGGCACTGGTACTACCAATGCACCATGTGAACTGTGTAGCCAGTAGCCAGCTCCACTGTCCTACAGAGGTGTGGCAGTGTTACAATATATAATGTGCCACTCACACTCTCCAAAGTGAGATGTAGAATCCTAGCAACCACATAGCTATCATTGAACTACATTGATTACTCTCTGCAAAACCAATCATTCTCTTACAAAAAGGTAAAATAAAGCTCCAACAAAACTTATGCAAGGTAAGGAGAAGGGACAGTTCCATGGTACAGTGGTAAAGCACTGCTTCAAAATGGCTGGGTCCCACACAGCAGCCTCAGTTTGGCTTTCCAGCTAGGTCAGCCTGAACATGTTGGATACACACTGTATGCCCAAGGGCCAACAGAATGGAGGTGGGGAGATCACTGCATGACCAAACCCTGTGGAGTAGTTTCCCTTCACTCACTTTCAACACGTATGCACACATGCTCTATAATGACTAAAGAAAAGAGGGGGGACCAGCAGTTAGCATAATGGCTATGCCGCTGAACTCCCACATAGTCGACCACGGTTCGCGTCCCGGATCCGGTGGCTTAAAACGCCGGGCGCGTGTGCGTGTGTGCCCAAGATCCCGAGAGGAGAATGGAGAAGAAGGGATTGCGGCGTGACCATCCCCCCGGGGAGTGATTTCTCGCTTTCTGTCTCTGTCTCTCTCTGTCTCGCGTGCGCACGCGCCCTATAGCAAAAACCTCTCCAAAAAAAAAAAAAGAGGAAAGAGAAGAAAGCACTTACCTATACAGATACTCATGAAAGAGCAAGGAGGAAAAAATGCGCAGAGTGCTGTCTTCTCTGACCAACTGGTCATGTGGCCACAGTATTTGTATCTTCTGCCTCCTCTTGGCCCCCATCGGAGC